TTGAATGCTTTCCTATTGTTGAGGACACAAGAGTACCACAGTACACTGATATTTTTAGTTATAGACAGATACCTGCCATTAGTGCATTATTTATAAAGGGCTCAAAAACATTAATGTATAAAAAATGATGAATAGCAGCCAATACTGATGCCAACATCAATGTTGTATGTATGGACACAACTTCAGTTCCATCCATCCATGCATGGCTTCCCTTTAAGCTGCATCAGTGATTATCCTCCTTCACAATCATTTATACACTGATTTTTATTATTTGTGCTTTAATTCTTGTACATTTCTTATATTTTAATTTAAAATCTGTGTCCTGTGAGTCTGTCTGTCTCTGGGTTGGCTGGCACAGCTATTTCTGAGTCTTGCTGAACTACAAAAGACAAAAAAATATATATATCGGGAGCGCACCGCCAACGCGCTGCTGCTGCTCGAGATGGAAAAAATTGAAGTTTTGCTGCTGGAAGCGCCGCATCAACGAATCAGAGAAGCTGATCTGGGAGCTGACAGCGAGACAGACACAGCGCTCTGATGACATATGATATTAAAGCAAATGAAAGGGCTGGATGGATGAGGAGATGATGAAAGCGTGGCTGAGGCAGGTGTATGTGAGGAGACCAGGTGGTTTTTTCCACGCATCACCATCGCTTTTAATATGTGACTCCATGCTTGCCCATCTCACAGCTGATGTGAAAAACATGGTGAAAAAAAATAAACGCTGTGCTCGCCGTTATCTCGGGGGTCTGACAAAGGAATTTCAACCGCTCGACATCGGTGTGAAGCGGCCGTTCAAAGTAAGGCTGCGAGTGGCGTGGGAGCGATGGATGACAGACGGAGACCACAGTTTCAGGATAAGTGGAAGGCAGCGCCGGGCAAGTTACGCCACCGTTAGCGGATGGATTGCAGATGCTTGGACTAACGTCTCTGCTGGCTCTGTTGTTCAAGCTTTTGCAAAAGCCGGCATTATTTCTGAGGAGCTGCGCTGCACGGAAAGTGACTCTGACAGCGAAGAAGGGGAAACTGTCATGTCTGATTTAGCGCAGCTGTTTAATTCAGAAACAGAGGATGATGACTTTGATGGGTTTGATTAATACTTTGTAATAAATACATGAATAAAGCACAAACATACTCAGTTTTGCTCCCGCTCTATTTTTCTACCTGAAAACTTAATTCAACAGCAGCCTCTGGGCGGGTCTCCTCCTCTTCACCGCGGTGGCTGGCAGGTGTTTTTTCATCTAAATAATCTAAATCTTGCAGCTATATTTGCTGTGATCAGTGGGAATAAAGTAGTTTTAATATGTTTTTAAGTGAGAAAGTCCAGCTGAAAACTTCATAATTGCAGTCAGTTCATCCAGATTATCTATTTCTGTCGGAGGCGCTCAGACCCCCACATACCAGCGGTGCACCGACAGTAGAAATCCTTTCATCAGCAGCCTCTAGGCTGGGCAGCCTCCAGGTTCACCGGCGGCGGCTGGCAGGTGTTTTTCATCTAAATAATTTTAGCTGCAGGCACAAGGATACCGGTAATAAAAGCGAACAAATTCCTTCGGCAGGTTTCAGGATTTTAAGTTAATTTAGGAGTGACCACAGCGCTGTGTCATCTGCGATGTGTCTGTCTCATGGCCAGCTCGCAGGTTTGATTAATACTTTGTAATAAATACATGAATAAAGCACAGTCATACTCAGTTTTGCCCCCGCTGTATTTTTAAATACGCAGTAGAGGTATTTAAAGGTAGTAGAGGACATGTACCGGTATATAAAAAACGCGCCCTATAGTCCGGTGCGCCTTATGTGTGTGTTAAATACAGAAATGGGACACATAACTGAGACTGCGCCTTTTAGTACGGTGCGCCTTATGGTCGTGAAAATACGGTATGTCCCAAAGCGACAGATCCCATGATATTATGCAGAGAGGTGGGACTCGAGAGTGAGGAAACAACACAGACTCAAAACGCTCTGAACACAGATAGCTGCAGCTAACCCCTGTTACTGTTGGCTAAAGTAAATCAGCGGAAATTATTGGTGGGGACATGTCCACACCAGCCCTTCAGAAAGTTACACCAGTGGTATTATCAGTTATTGGTATAACATAAAACGATTTTTAATAATAAGGCCTTTGTAAGTTTCAAAATGCAATAAAACTGCACAGCCTGTAAGGGTTCTCATAAAGTGACCCTCTTTTTCTATAGAACAAACAAAAATATGTATATAAAACGTATAGAATACATTGTAATCCACCTAAAACATACCTCAAATCAATCAGATTTAAGTTAAAAAAAGAGAATGATGAACTTTTTTAAACACCCACCCCTTTATACCATTTGATCAATTTTCTTTGATAACATACAATACATTTATTTTACATCTAGAAAACAGCATAGATAACCCAGAGGTATGCATGTATATGCAATAGTATACATGCAAATCAATTGAAAGTTTATTTGTATTGCACAATACAGTAAAAAGACATTTCTAAATGCTTTACAAGAATTAAAAAATAAAGTAGAATTAAATTAAAAACAGAAAAAAGTAAACAGGTACAGTAGTAAAGCAAACAAAGCAGATTGAGGACAACTAAAGCAATAATAGCTCAGTTAATAGTTGAACTTTAAAAGCAGTTCTAAACAAATGCCTTTTTATATTTTAATTAAAGGACCAGTTGGCCTTGTTTCTTATACTGTGACCTCTTAAATTTCTTATCTGTGTATCATATATTTAACTTAAAAATGAATGAATGCTCCACACCCTATAAGCATCAGGGGAGTTTTCCCTAAATGCAATTTGAGGAGTTTATTGAAGGGGTCCTGAAGGTTTTAGTTTTATTTTATTGGTTCTCTCAAGTTTGACTTCCAGTTTCACTTTTTAACTGTTAGATAATCTCCAGGGACGTTCCCTAAGAAATAAATACAATTCTCATTCTCTAATAATTAGAGACCCTCACAAAAAAATTCCTCAAAGTTCTCTGAAAGTTATCCACCACATACACACATGTGAGCCTTTAGAGAGCCTTCATGGCACATCCCCTCAATGTTGCTGATATGTTTCACTATGAAGCCTTTGGAGAACCTTCTGAAAATGTTCCCTTAAGGTTCCCAGAAAGTCAACTTCAGTTTTCATTTAATAACCATTAGAAAACCTTCATGGATTCCTCCCTGAGGATTCCCTTATGTTTCCTACCAAGTTTAACAAGAACTACTGTAGCGTTTTACTGTTGATACTAAACAAGTTTCAATATTAAGTAGGAAAAAAGAGCACCGTATTGAGATAAAGATCACCCGTCAGGATCCGTATTAAGGCTGATGAGTGTCATTCCTCATGAGTTTACAGAAAGCATTTATCACTCAGGATGAGGCTTTCCATTCCTAATTGTTTCAAAACACTGGAGAACCGTGGAGTTAATTTAAAATCCCTCCCATCTCCTCGGTTTCATGCATTCATTTGGGTTAAAGGGATTAGGGTGGCATCCATCTTCGAATTACACACCCATCATGCCTTTAACTTTTATATGACGTTGGGACGGAGTGGTCCTGGTGAAACCAAGGGATATAGATGTTTGATGAAAGAACCCGCTAAGGACTGTTGAAGTAGGCGACGATGTTCGAAGTTTTTCTCTGTCTTTTTCTGTAGATGGGTTTAAGGTTCCTTCTCGTTCACTATCAACAAATTATCACAGAAATAACAGAAGGAACTGATAGGGAATCTTTTTGGTTTGAGATTAAGATGTTTGCCCGTGGGGGGAAATATGCAAACAGATGAAAACTGCTGTGACTTCTGGCACATTTAATCTGATCAAACGGATAATATGCTTTAATTATAGGATTATTATAACGTTGATGGCTTCTCAGCTTTGTATGTAGCTGCAAGATGATCTGTTGAGATTTAATATGAGCTCTGCAACTTTAAAACAGATCAAATACAAGTTTTCAGGAACCGGGAGATGTGGAGTCGCTGCTTCCACTGAAATAATAAAGGCGAAAAGGGATATGAGAAATTCTGGGAGAGTCTTGGAGCGGGTTTGCACTCCCTCGCTAATTTCCTACTTGGAAAGAGGTGGTGGCGGTGGGAGGGGTAGTTATCCTGTTGTTGCTTTGGGCCAATTGCGGCAGTAGAATCTGTTCCCCTCTAAGGCAGTTTGAGTTTATGTGTGATCTGCTGAGGATCTAAAGGAATGAAGAAAGTTCATCCTTCACTCAGACTCATCAGTGAGGCTGTAAAAACGTCTAGTGTAATTATAGTGTTATATAGGGCCGTAGTAAAAGTACTTTTTCCCCCCATTCTTTTTTTGTTTTAGTTTTTAGGCCTTTTGTCACACTCAAATGTCACATCATTAAAGAAGTAGCTGGTAGCTGTTTTTTTTTTTCCAACTAAATGTAATGAAAAACAAAACATTTGTTTGGACTAAAGCGAATAGATCCATTTATTCAAGATAGAATGTAGCCGTCATTTTAGTAGATCTCAGAGTAAATTTGTGCTTTAACTTTTCCAAACGTTCACACCATTAGTGGACTATTTTAAATTACGGAGAAGTAAACTGGCTAACATCCTGAAAGCTTGGTTAAATTTTAGCTTTCATGTAGCTGATCCATTACTTTTCACCAAAAGCTGCAGCCGCAGTTTAGAGCTCACCTTAAAATGTCTCTCCGGTATACACATGTTTTGTAAAAGTGCGTGACTTCTACGTTTAGTGAGCTTGACAGTGAGTGAAGCAGGTAGGAGATAAAGGGTCTGAAGGAAGGCTGCACAGAGGTGAACAGCTGGGATTAAAGGTACTTTGAGCCTTGAAACCAGTCTGGGCAGCACAGTGCAACTATATGACCTGAGGTTGTTACATAAGCTGAGACAAATAAACCTCTCTTCCAGTAGATTTTTCTCATAACAGTTGTTATCCGAGCTGCATTCTCTTATTGTTTTAAAGAGATAGTTACAGTGATTATTTTGATGTTCGTGTACCCTGTTAGGACATGCAGGACAAGAACAAGTAAAACTGCTGCAGTTCCCTCGTAGATCGTGCCAGGCTGCACATGGGGTGGTAATTGTAGTCTGGTAACCAGCTCACCTCGCATGACTTTGGCAAAAAGCTGTAATTTAATTTCTCACCCAGCTGTGATGCAGTGAAACCGCAATGCTCGTCTTTTCCCCTGCACTCTGCTGTGTCATGGCCTCGTTGACCTGAAAGCCACTGTGTGTATCTACATGTTGCTCAACTAGCAACCTCTGTCCAGTTTTCGTACCTCTGTGTGTGTAAAGGTTGCTTAAGATGAACTGCATGAGTGAGCTCTTTTCAGATGAACAGAGCAAGAGCAGGGGAAGGGTATGATGTTTCATTTTTTTTAAAGTGATTTCTTAAATTTTTTTTTTTTTAGTTATATCCTATAGTGTTAAGTATTAAAATTTTTTTCGTTTTTATGTTCTTTCAACAGTGTTTCAAATTGTGTCTTTATATATGTGCGAAATGGAGTTTTATTACACAAAAGCCAAGGAGCATTTATTTATTTTTCTTCTAGTTTTACAATTAAAGCATAAATTATGATGCCCCCGGCACTTAAGTTTTCACTGTAGGATGAATGTGCAAATTAACTCATTGATTAGAGAAATTAGGTCGCAGCCATTTGGAGGCGAATAAAGAAGAGAAGCAGGGCTTCTCAAGTTACACAAATAAAAGCTTTGTTAAGCCTTTACAAAAGCCTTGCCTTTATTGAGCTCCCTGAAAGTCCAAAGTTGCAGAACAGCTGTACAGGGTTTGGACAAGGTGCTCTGATCTAATCAAAGCTTTACTGTTTTCTTTCTAAACGGTTAATGTTTCTTGCAGTGAGGCCGTTTTAAAACGGTCTGGCATGTAATTTATTCTCCGTCTTTCTCTTCAGAGCATAATGGTACTTCTCTTGTGGCTCGGCCTGTCGCTGCTGTTAGCTGAGCAGTCCAATGCTGTCAGGAACTGCCACCCGAGCTGTCACTGTGAGGTGGAAAGCTTTGGGCTGTTCGACAGCTTCAGCCTGACCAGGGTGGACTGCAGAGGCATGGGTCCCAGCTTCTCCATGCCCATTACCATTCCTTTGGATACCGCCCACCTGGACCTGTCTTCCAATGAAATGGGGCCGCTCAGCGATGCAATGTTAACCGGTCCAGGGTATACTACCTTAATTAGTTTGGACCTCAGCAGCAACAAAATTACAAAGGTAGGTGCTCAAGAAAGTTAACATTAACATTATTCAGATTATAAAGTTTTTAACTTTCCACAGTGATGCTAAATTTGATAGACTGTATTGGCTGTGGCAGCTATTCTTTTATGGCACATGACCGGTGTACTCTCCTCAGACATCTTTCTTTGTGGGTGGAGCTGTGCAGACAGCAACTGCATCCCCAGTCATTCAATCTTACGTCTCTCATAGTTCCAATCCAAATGATCGACAGGTTGCATCAAAACAAAGAGCAAATACACTAGTCTTATGGTTCGTTCACACCAAAACCCTGCAAAAACTTTTGCTTTTGCTTGTCTTTAAATTTGCCTGGCCAGTGAAAGGCTCCTACTTCATGAAGTCTGTTGATCATTAGTTTTACATTATCTTGGCGGTCTAAAAAGATAGAACCAGGACAAAGCTGCCGTTCTGGAACTATGATACAACAGCAGTAGAGAAGCTAGCCGGGGAGGCAGAGCTAGGGGGCGGGGTTACGTATGGCTGGAGCCAGCTTCTAGAGGCTAACTGCGGGAAATGAAAGAAGTACTGGGGCGGATCATTGAGGCTTGCCCGGGCAGACCCCGGTGAAGCTGGGGAGAGAAGACATCTGTCTGCGATGGAGGTAGGATGAAGAAACTGTCCTTCTGCGATTAAATTAAAACATTTTTTTAAGCCTGCTTAAATCCACTTAGGAGCGTTTCCACATCAACATGTCTAAATTATTTTCTCTATCTTCCTTTTTTAATAAAAAAAAAAAAGCGAATCTCCTGTGCGCTCCTTCACTGTAGCTCACAGCCACATGACTGGATCCCTGACTGGATTTAGTGACACAAATGTAAACCAAAGTTTAGATTTTTTAACTTCTACGAATTTTGCTTCGTTTAATTTGCAGTTGAGATGGCAATTAAATTCCACTAACTCCCTTAAATGCTGTTTGCCTCTGTACATCTGCCACCTTCGCTTCGCTCCAGATCCACCCTCCTCTTAGAGATAACTCGAGAATCCTTTAATAAAAATTTCTGTTTAGTGTGAAAGTACCAATACAGCTAACTGCTGCCAAAAAAGGCTTGTAGCTGAATGTGAAGAGCTAGCTATGTTCTTAGAAAGACATTACACAGCTGTGAGTGTTAGGTAAGGTTTTTTCAGTAGATCCAGTTAGCTTTCTCACCCTAGTTTAAAAATATCAAAGGTTAACACCTGACTGAAGGAATTGACCAAATATTTCCTGCCTTCCAGAAAAAAAATGGGAGACTTCAGAATGCTAAGGAAATTAGCTGAATCAAACCTGGATGCAATTAAGAAAAGTCTTAGTCAGTAAATGATAAAAAACTTATATTACATTAACATTTAAAATTGCATCTCCAGTTTTTCAGGTAGATGCTAACTGCTAAAGCATAATGGACGTTTAATATCTTTGTTTTTCTCATTCTCAGATTAGCCCCAATGCATTGTCAAAGCTGCGTTACCTGGAGAGTCTGGATCTGAGCTACAACAAGCTAGAGAGCTTGTCTCCTAGCTGTTTTTCTGGGCTCCCTCTTGCTGAGGTTGACCTCAGTCGCAACCGTTTCCAGGAGTTCGACATGGCAGTGTTTGCTGCTAAAGTGAACGGCGAGCCCCTTAACGTGGATCTATCTCAAAACAAGCTCGTGTCAGTCTCCACCACCTTGCATGGAAGAGTTTTAAACATCCAGAGTGTCAATTTGTCCTCAAACCAGCTGGTTAACGTACCGAGCATGGCAGGACTTCCGCTCAGGTACCTAAATCTGGATGCCAACCCCATCAAGAAAATCAAGAAGGGTGCCTTTGCTCAACTCAAAGAGCTTGTTTATCTGTCTCTCAGTGGTCTCAGTGAACTACATGAAATTGAGCCACATACCTTCAGTGATCTCCAGAACCTTCAAGTTTTGGACCTCTCAAATAACTCAAACCTTAAAAGTCTGCAACCTGCAGTCTTCTCTGGACTAGAGTCTCTACAGGAGCTCAACTTGTCTGGCTCTGGTGTGACTTCTTTACCAGCTAACATGTTGAGCCAGCTCCCCAGCATCAAAAGTGTCACCCTTGGACAAAGCATCCACTGCTGGAGGACACAGAAACAGGGACAGTTCCATCGACAGATAGGGCAGGTTCAACATAACGAGGAGCTGCACTGTAACGTAGACGGCATTGTGTTGTGAGACTGGACCACTCAGTAGATCTGAGACTCATTTGCTTAGATATGCAGAACACTCTTGAGCGGCTCTAGCATGGCTAAATCTGCTCCTAGGCGATACTGTGGATCATACCATATCATCTTAATGTAGCTTTTAAAAAATACTTTGGACACTTTAAGAGCATGCTGTATTTTCTGAACTACAGAGACCAACTTCTGTCATGAAAAACAGAAAATCCACCGTTTTTTTTCCTTTTCTTTCACACAAGTGTTTTAAGTCATACATTTCACTTCAAAGTTGTCTTAAGATGTAATTGAACTTATTCCTTACGCAACATCTTTTTTTTTCTTAAATAATGTCCATATACCATTCAGAGATAATGGTTGTTACCATGTAGCCACTAATTTCAATGGAACGTCTGAGGTGATTGAAATGAGACTTAAGGGAAGATTGTTTGTTGTTCTTTATGCTGCTGTTAAATACCCTCTAATTTCAGAGTTTAAATCTTCATATCATTTTGGATCAGTGCCAAGCCAAAGAAGAACCAAAATAACCCCCACTGGATTTGATACAGACGTGGTGATGCCTACTGTTAGCAATACATCATATACAAACTTATTTCTCCCCAATATATTTTATAGAAGGCAAAAAAAGGAAACACAAATAGAAATGCACACTATTACCTGTTTTAGGCCGCCATGTTGGATCTCAGCTCAGGGTAAGAGTATCTCACTTACCCGGTCCAGTGAGGTATTATTTAGCTTCAATCAAAAATGTCAGAGAAGGTTTGAATATCTTTACTGTTTGAAATAAATATTTGCGTGTCTGCAAAGATAATCATTTTACGACATTCAAATGAATACATTCTGTTTTAAATAAACACCCCAAAAATGTTTTTATAGGTTTCAAGTGTTGGTTGTAGAGAATATTATTTTAGTTGCTCTGCTCTTTATAGGCAAACTCGAATATTAGCAATAACAGATGGAAGACGGGCAGCACTCTATAGCCAAAGTAAACCCTAGTAACTGGTCATTTATTTGGCATGTCAATAAAATAACCTTTCTAAAGTTCAGAGTTCAGGCATTTTGGAAGTCATTCTAAAACCTTGGCAAACCTTGAGACATGCAGCTAGTCTGTCATTACACCACACCTTATGTGAATTTGTTTGCTCACCTCCAGGGAAACACATTTATTAAAATCAAATGATCACAGACTTTCACCAGTAAGCTTCTCCCTTTAATTTTTTTTTTTTTTTATTACTTTGGCCAGGATGTAATCAGACGTCAGTATTGAACAGGCTACACATTCAACACTTAAAGCCTTTTCTGTAGTTTGAATGCTCTCATCTTTTTGTTACTTTAAGCTGAAGGACAAACACGGGTTTTCAAATTTTAATGATTTTTGATCTGTGACCCTTTAAACTTTTTGTACAGTTTATGCCTGTTCTGTGCACCATTTATTTGCTAAGCCACACTAAATGTTTTGTCCCCAACAAAAATTAAACTCCATATCTTTTTTCTTCTCCCCTTGACGTTGTTTTTCTGACCATTTCGTCATGCTTATGGCCTTTACCACTATTCCTATTGATTGCACCTTTGTCTCCACTGAGATTACACAGCAAGAGTAAACAAGCAGGGAGCAAGTTGACCGAAAGGCCTTGATTTACTGTCCTATTCTGTTGTGACCAAGTCTATTTTTTAAAGGACAAGTTGGACCACTTACAGTTTACTACATTTTCTTTAATAAAATTAGACTAAGCTTGTTATTCCTTTCGTGTAAATAGGGACAATCACCCTCAGAATTGCTGGGGAAAAGCAAATTTGCCTTTGAACTGTGTATTTTGCTGATAGACAAAATGTACGTTTTGATTTAAAGCTCAGTATTTTTATGGATGTAACTAAACTGTAAATACTTTTATAAATATGTAAATTTTATGTGTAATAAAATGATCCTTCTAACACTGTGAGCTGATGACTTGACTGTTGCATATCCAGTGAGACATGCAATCAGGCAAAAATTGCTAGGCAACTCAGTAACGAAGAAAAAATAAACACACGTTCGAAAGAAAACCACTTTTTGGAACATTTGCAACTGTCTGCTCTGAAGTTAACATTTTCCTCAAGTTCCAGCCCTGTGTGATTTGTGTTTGCAGAAGTTTGAATCACACCAGGGTGTGGTTCTCTCCGAGACACGACGAGAAGCTTAGATCTCTGCAGAGTTGTTTTAAATTGTGTTTAGACCAAGGTCGTTAAGTGGAATAAAACTTAAGGTTTGTCTTATTTGACTCAGCTTGGCATCGTGCCAAAGAGGTGACCGGGAGTAAGACTGGCAGAGAAAAAAAAAAAGAATTGAGGGGAAATGGATTTCATCTAATGTACATCTTCCATGTCCTTAACAATGAGTACTGTGTTTGCTTTTTAGGATTATGGAAACTCAGTTTTTGTCCTTTTTATTATTTTTAAAGCACATTGTATGTAAAAAGGCATACTGGTACCAAGGGGTTTTCAGATATTGCATCAGAATGTAGGCGTACTTGTTGAATCATGAAATTAGAGTGTCACAATAGCAATGTTTGAAATACTGTTAATGATGCTTGAATCCTTCTAGTTTTCTTAAAAAACGTTTGACAGAATGTAGCTTAATTTTTCCCGTAGTGGGTGTAGGGCTGACAGAACACCTTCAGAATACTGATCCCTCAGCACAAAATACATCCAGATGTTTGTGTGATTTTTTTTTTTTACATTTTTTTTTATGTCTGTCTTGTAAAACAAAAGCATGTTTAAAGCCAAGAAACCAATAATCATTTCCAAACTGTCTCAGCATAATTCTATAGTCTATGGGGCTCTTTTAACACTAAAGGGAAAATGCTTCAAAGAGGTAACATTTACTCAAGTTGTTTCAGCGCAGATTCTATACAGATAAATTACTCACTCTTAGATAATGAGTAATTTGCATATTTAATTCAGCATTTGTTGTTTGAACTTTAGCAACATGTGACTTCACACACTCTTATGGTGACACTCACATTTTCCCAACAGCCTGTACTGTGGGTCCGTGAGGAAGACCCTTAACTCCACACTGCTCCCCGGGCGCCGCACAACAGCAGCCCACTGATCCCCCAGGGATAGGTTAAATACAGTGGTAAATTTCTCCAATGTAAGATCAATAAAGTTCAATAATTATTTTTATTATTATTGTTACGTAGTCTAGCTTTATAAGTGGTAATAACAGTATGGCTGCCTGTTATCACAAAAAAGAACTGCTTTTTCGTGACAAGCAATGGACCATTAATCTTGGACAACTACTGTCTCAGGGAGCCAAAAGAACAGCATCCTCATAGTTGCCACCATGAGACATTTTGAGGAACCCACCTTCCTTTTGTGTAAAGCTGTTGACTCAATTCTGCCACCTGAAGTTGTCCATAATTTTACCTGTGCCCATAAATTCAACCATCACCTATTTCAATAATTACCGTCTCGACTGCAGTCATCTTGAAGTGCTTTGAGAGTTTCCTCCTAAAGCCAGGGATAGAATGTGCGATTTTTTTCAGTCGTTGCTTGCAGCACCAACTTCAAATGTGCGCAACAATTGCAGAGTTCAAATATGTCCTCACACTGTATGAACCGACTCTTTGATGCGATCTGACTACTCAAGCTGTATGTCCTCAAAGACAGGTTGGAGTCTTGTACAATACCGACATGCAAAGCTATAAGGTGCCAATTTTCTCAAGTGAGCCCCTTGTATACTGCATGATGCACGACACAATTTTTCCAAGAGTCAGCCTGATTTGTTGCACCACTGGAAAATCACATAGTGCATGCCTGGCGTTAAGTCCATCAATAACACCATCCCTGTTAGCCAGTACAGCCTGCATTTAGCTTCAGAACAGGGGCCTCAATACATGGTCCCCAAGATCTACCATCTTGCAGATTTTAGATGCATCCCTGGCCCTACACAGCTAATTCAAATGACTGAATTAACTCTTCAGCATACAATCAAGTTCAGCAAAGACCTGGTGAAGAGCTATTCATTTGCACAGCTGCTTACAAACTTCTACAGTCCCTCAGTGAATGCATCCTGAGTCTTGGCATGACAGTGTGGTGTGGAAAGTGACTGACACAAGGTATGAAGGACTTAGCAAGAGTGATGAAGATTGCAGGAAAGATATTGGTATGTCATCTACCCGATCCGATAAACTGCTTTTAAAGTTAATATGTAGCTCAGTTGTTTCCTATGATTAAGTACTTTAAAGTCAAGTTGATCCTGCCAAACCAGTTTTCACTATGAGCAAAATAAGGACAGGCTGCCTTTGATTAAAGTCTTACTTCAACTGTATCAAATTTATAAAATAAGAACTCTTTTCTCTAACCCATTACAAACTCCTAAAATTCCTCCTTTAAAGACACAACGGTCCCCAAGCTTGAAAATTTCAATCTTGTTGCAAAATCTACAAGAAAAAATAAATTCCTTATTATTCTTGTTGCTTTAGGAACATTAAAAAATGTATGAGTGTGATTCTAGCACATTTTCTGCATCATTCACGTGCTGTAGGTCATTAGATATTTCGCCCGTAAAATACTTTACAGGTACCAAGTACAACTCCAAAATCACTTAAATGGGAGGAGCTACTACTATATGTCTGTTCAATATAACATGGTGGACCTAGGTGTACAGTACTGTATTTAATGTGGAAATCTGAACAAGGAAGTTAAAAACCCAGGGTCCAAGGATCCAGAGATACCCCCAATTCAGGAGTCCAGGAGCTATGGCTGTAAACAAAAACAAAAAAATGATGGTATCAAGAAATGTCAGTAATTTTCTTCATTGATCAAAACCATGTTTGTGATGATATCCAGACCTGATCATATCCCCAAATATATTTAGTATTTTTGTTCATCATAAGTATGATATGAAGTTGTTTCTGTCTACTTGACCAGGTTGGGTGTTTGTCTCTGGATAATGGGGCTTGTGTCACCTCTTTTACAGGCGTGGGCCCTTTAGGGCTTGTCTGGGGCACAACCACATCTTCTATTAAGCATACTTTCCTTCTGAAGAAGCTTGTAAATCTTTTATACACAGTATGCTCATGAATTTAGTTCGAGATGCTCACGGATACACATTAATACTAAATACTAAGCTGTAGCTATAGATATATACAACCCTGATTAATATTGTGTAATTACCATAGGTTCTGACTACAACACACAAAGAAAGGATACCCGCTGCTCTTGAAGTTTTACTTTGGTTGTCTGTTGTCTTTCTTCTGTTGTTTTAACTCAGCCGTTTTCTCCCCTCCCTATTCTGTTTTCCTTTTAATGAAGAAAATAAACACAGTCAAATGCGAAAATGATGGAAATAAAAACAGTATGCCATTTGATAATTATGTTTCAAGGAGTCTTTTTTGTCATTTCAAAATGTTGATATAAAATGAAAGTGGTTTTAAGGGTTCCAGAGCAGCCCAATCTCAAGGTATGAAAGAGTAAAATTAGCTATAAATACGTTGATGTATAAATATGAAATAAACAAAATTGTCATGATCTTGGCACTGTTCCAGCTTCTATTTAAACTGCTTGCTCTCAGTTATCAGTGCCAGATTATTCTCGTTCCTTTGTTGAGAGTTCTCTAGAGTACCATTTAGGACATCTGTTGGATTCTACTTGGAATCCAACAGACTGTACCTGGATCTGCCTCCCGACTTCACCCTCTGGATTATCCTGCCTTCTTTCGTCTGCTTCAATCTGATCTCATGTCAGTTCTGTAGTCTTCAAGGTTTCAGTGTCTGAAACTCTGTGCGGCCGCCGCTACATCTTATTAGCCGACTGTCTGGAATAAACCACGTTCTCTGGGCACGGAGTAAACTCTAAAACCAGGTTAGTGAATCACACGTTCATAATCAACCTCCATCAGATTATCGTTGTCACTAACCTGTGTTTCTCTCCTGCAGAGGTTCCTGTCTTAGAAGTCCTAGCAGCTGTTACTGTAGATACGCAGTTTGTTTTTAAATAAGCGCTTTTAAAGTAATCCCACTGAGCCTTGACAAAGATAAAATATGCACATTTAAGTCGTTATGAAAAATACAGACATACATACATATATACAGGCTTTTTAAGAACCATGGTGACTCTTGAAGTAAGGTCAAGTTACCACAGAAAATAATTTATTATTTTGAAAATTAATCGAATGTTTTATATAGTTTCTGCACAGGACTTCCTGTCCTGTGTGATCTGCTTCTTTGACATCTTTCCGCAATGTGTTTCAGCATCCGGTAGAAATATAAAACGGGTAAACATCTGACACTGAGGCTGTGTCCAAATGTACGACCTAATCACTATATAGGGCATTATATAGTGGTTACCCCATTTTAGAAGAGTGTCTGAACACATAGTGGTTGAAAGAGTAATAGACTCAAAATTTCCCACAAGACTCCTTGAAAAGTAATGATCATCCTTGGTCACTACACGAGCAGCCATATCATGGAATGTCACCTTCGGGTGTCGCTACCCTGTCAATATGGGACCAACGTAACTCCAATGGGGAGTGAAAAGTAGTAATCATCTGTTTGAACGGTCAGTTAACTGAGTTTACTGAGTCTGCTATATAGTCACGGCATTATATAGTGATTAAGGGATTTAGGGCTTTGGGTGGACATTCGGGCACAGCCTAAGTAACCCACGCTGAAATAATTTTCAGTTCAAGACGTTGCTAACATATCAGTCGCATAATAGCGTGGATTCAATGGCTGGAAGTTGAATGAAGACCGGTACAGACAGTTAAATAAACTTTGGTTTGATATTCCCTTGCTGTCTGAGTAGCTCGCTGGGCTGAAATATTTCCACATAAAAATGCAGTTTTTCTCAATGCCATCAACAACATAAACTGCTCTTCACATATATGTGTAGCTTGATGAGCTCCTCTTCCAGTGACAGACGGACTCACGTACGGTGTCTGTAGCCTGTGTATAGCAGT